GCTTAGTATTTTGCTTGGAATGGACAGGAGCATAATTCCGCTCCAGTTTTTACATTGACTTAAGTCTCCTTTCTTTGGTAGTTTGAATAAGTATCCTTTCTTCCAATCCTCGGGTACTTTGCCCTCTTTCCACACCTTCTCCAGTGATGACGTCATCAAGTCCGCTGTTGTCTCTGGGTCCATTTTCAATGCTTGTGCTGGGATTCCATCTGGTCCTGCTGCATTTCCAGCTTTTAGCATCTTGATTGCATTCAGGACTTCTGATTTCGTCGGAGGGTCGATGTTCACTGGTAGTTCTGCTTCCGTTGTTGGTATTGTTGGGTGCGTTGTAGGTGGCGGACGATTTAGAAGTCTTTTGAAGTGTTCAGCCCAGTGTTTTCTTTGCTCCACCTCTTTGGTGATTGACTTTCCATTGTCATCCTTTACTGGCTTAATCTGTGTCGAACTTTTGCCCGAAAGGTGCCTAGTTGTTTGGTAGAGTGTGGCGAGGTCTCCTTTGCCTGCAGCTTGTTCTGCTTCGTTTGCCATGGTTTCATAATATTTTCTTTTGTCTTCCCTGGCACTCTTCTTCACTCTTTTGTTCAGTGTATTGTAGCTTGCATTCAGCTCCTGTTTTTGTTGCTCGTCGGTGCACTGGATAATCTTTTGTTTCACTGTCCTTCTCTCTTCTATTAGTTTCCAAGTGTCCATAGTGAGCCACTGTTTGTCCTGTCTCTTCTTTCTGCCTAGAACTTCCATGCAGGTTTGACTCCACACCGTTTTCAAGTTGTTCCAGTGCTTTTCGACGCTGACCTTTTCGCTGGTGTTGATTTGTGTCTCGGCTTTGTCCTTTATGCTTGCAATGAAGATGTCCTTTGTAGCCTGGTCCTTCAGCTTTTGAGTGTTGAACTTGGCTTGTGGTCTATCTGCAGCTCCTGTTTCCCTGAAAGCTTTTAATTTGATTTGGATTGTCCCTTGTACGAGATAGTGGTCTGAGCCAACGTCTGCTCCTCTTCTTGCTTTTGTGTCCAGTAGGCTGCGCCTCCACTTCCTTGAGATTGAGATGAAGTCGATTTGGTTTTTGGTTTGCCCGTCTGGTGACACCCATGTAGCCTTGTGGATATCTTTGTGTTTGTATACACTGCCACCAATCACTAGTTCGTTGAAGGCGCAGAAGTCGGCGAAGAGTTCTCCGTTTTCATTCATTTCTCCGAGAGCTTCTCTACCCATGATGAGTTCCCTTCCTGTGTTGTCTGGTCCCAGTTTGGCGTTCATGTCTCCCATTAGTATTTTAATGTCGCCAGCTGGAGTATTGTCCATTGTTGCCTGTAGTTGTCTGTAGAATTCTTCTTTCTTTTCGAGGTCTGCGTTGTTTGTGGGTGCATAGTATTGTATAACTGACACTTTCCTTCCTTTGGAGTTGACTATGGCGGTCATTATCCTGGACGAGATCGCCTCCCATTCCATCAGGGCCTTTGTTTCCGTTGGTGACATCATGATAGCCACGCCCTCGGTGTGCGTGTCCTAACCCTACATACCCACACTTAATATCAATTATTATAGTACACCACTTAGCATGGAAGTTAGAGAAAGCAAAATATCTGTGGTCTCCATGTCATGTCTACAACTTCAAAGAAGGAAGAAACCAACTAGATATGATGGAGAAGGTTTGTAGCCCAGATGGATGATTTTGATGTAGTTGTGTCCCCTGAGTTGTTAGCTGGATACTTTATTTGCGAAGCTTTCATCATTGTGCTACTAGTCAACATCTTCAGCGCACACTTCAGTTTGAAATGAGCTTTTAGATCTCTCTACAAGTTTATTAGTCTTGTCTCTCTCCCGGTGACCCTGAATGCGATTGGTTGTTTTTGTGTGTTTTCATACCCTCTAGGCTACTTGTATTGGCATTGGTACTGATTGTTTCCTTGACCTGGAGTTTGACCCTTTGTGTGTGAGATTTCTTTCTTATCGATTGGACAACCACGGACATCAATTCGACTGAGGCAACCGACGTTCGAATATTAGACAGAGGAAACACCAAGAATGCCAGAGGATTTTTAGAAGCCTGACATTCCAGTAAATTGTCATTCAACAGGTACATCGATAGACAAAATTTACCAATTGATAAGAAGGAAATCTCACACACAAAGGGTCAAAGTGCATGTCAAGGAAACAATCGGCACCAATGCCAATACAAGTAGCCTAGAGGGTGTGAAAACATACAAAAACAAACATTCGCATTCAAGGTAAGCAAGAGAGATGACTAATAAACTCGTAGAGAAATCCAAAAGCTCACTTTAATATATTGAAGTGTATATGCTGAAGATGTTGCCTAGCAAGTAGGGCAATTAACTATCCAGCTAACTCCCAGAACACAAATACATCAAAAAAAATGTATCGGATTGCTGAGCAGTACACACGCTTTTCGATCGATAGCTGAATATTACACCTACTGCAGAGATGATCCAAGTTATTAAAGGAGTTTCCCGCATCTTACAGAAGATTGCGCCAGCAGTGAATTCATTACAAACTCATTATCATTATAACTGTTATTAATATTACCGCCTTAGGTTCCGAGTGGAACATGTTACGGCTTCAACAGCACACCTCTATTTCATCTTGTTCTCTACAGTCCTGTTTAACTGACTCAACGACTAAGTGCCTACTCTACTCACACGATCTCCTTTATGTCACCCTCGGAACTACCTACGCCCAACTCATGATATATCGTTCAGATTCCACCCGAATGTTTGTCTGGGACATGACGTCATTCAATGATCTCCCCTCAGGACGTATCTGATCCATCTATATTTTCAACTTCTTAATCTTTATTGCTACAATCCATGCATTAGGAGACGTAGAAGGAAAAGGGTCATTTATGCATGGTTATATTTATATATATTTTTAAAAGTAATATCTTCATAAAAAGGAGAGAAAAACAAAACAAAAGATCATCATTAATTAATTATTGTTTTAAATTTAGAGCGGAAATGAGAGAGTGAGGGAGAGAGAAAGAAAAAAAAGGTTAATTGGTACATTTAAACAAATAAACAAACAAAGGGACTGACGCACACGCACACACACACGACTTTAATCATAAATGGTCTTCTTCCAGAAATAAGAAAGACAAAAGGAAATCAGACAAGTGCATAACACTACCAATCATTATTATCAGCGTCATTATCATTGTTATTCTTACTAGACAGAAATCAATAATCAATCAGTGGTACATCAGTAACCCATTAAGAAGAACTAAAGTGACGTGAACATGAAGTCATATAATGAGTGAATAATGAGAATATGAGCGGAAAAGAACATGTTTTTTTTAAAGACGTATATAAACTTTTGGACAAATTATCCCTTTGAGAAGTATTTCACAAACAGATAGATAGAAAGGGAAAGAGAGAGAGAGAGCAATGAAGGCCTTTCTCTCTCTCTTTCCCTACCCCTCTCTGTCTGCATGTTTCCCGACCCCACCCCGCAACCCTCACATAATAGTGAAGTATGACAATACTTCATTGAATAAGAAATTCATTGTAGAAAAAACAAAACAAGTGAAGTGTGTCTGTTTGCTTGTCTGTCGGCCTATCTATGTGCGTGGGTGTTCATGGGCGTATGTATGTGCGTGTATCTGTACTGCTAGCCTTGCAGACATGTATATCAAACACACACACAAAGGAGTATAATATATGTCTATAAATAAATAGATATACAAATAAACAGACCATACACGCCCACGCACTACACACACACATTATTACTATCACCATTAGCAATAGGTGAGTTTTACAAATTCGTAAAAGAAGGATAAACCACATACATGGATAAAACAAAAGAAAAAACCACAATAGAAATAAATCTCTCTGTTATTCAATAATTATAAGAAAAAAACAAACAAACCAAAAAATTCATTGTTTATTATGGAAGCATATTTCTCACTGTTTGTATGTGCGGGTGTGTGTGTGTGTAGGTGCGTGCATGTACATGTGTGCATCTATATCTATCTGTCCGTTTATATGTCTGTGTGTGTGCATCTTTATAATATTAACTGTGGAAGAAACATCTCCGCACCTCTCCCCCCAGACTCGAATATGAGGTCAGAGAAGAGAAATAGAACAGTGAGGAGAGTTGAGAAGGGATCGGAAGATCAATCAATCAATAGGGCAGTTGTTAGACAAAACAATAAAAACAAATGTTCATTTTTTTCTTCTTTTTTTAAGTGGACAAACAGCAAAAAAATTTGAGAACTAGAGACATTTGCTTCTCTCTCAGTCTCAAAATCAATTTCAGAGATTACGTAACAGTATTAGGAAGTAGTAGTAGTATAATGTCTCCTGAATCATAGATAGATAATGACAGTATTTGTTAAAATGTAATGCGTAGAGGTGTGTATAGAAAATAGCACATATGTATAGGATGAGTGTTTTGTTTTTGGTATGAGCAATTATGTATCCGCCTCCGAACACATCAATCAGATCCATATATGTATATGTAGATGTATGTATCCCTATTACAGTAATGTAGAATACAGTGTGTATGTGTGTGGGTATGTATCTATCTGTCTGTCTGTATATCTATCTGGTACAGTCTACAGTCTAGAATATACATGTACAATAAAGAAATGAAATAAAAGCAAGTATTCTTTATATAAAAAAGGACAATGAAGGGAAGAAAGTTGTGTACGTTTATTTTTATGTGTATGTGTGTGTGTGTGCGTTGTCAGTGTATAGAGGTGTGTGTGCGAGTACGTATTACATAATACTGACTTGTACCTAATCCACAGTCCCTTGAAAGTAAGTAAGTAGGTTAGGTGAGGTTAGTCAATTGGTGTATGTCTGTCTTTTTTGGCATTTGTGCAGATGTGATACCTCTGCCTCTGGACAGCAACATGAGTAGTAGTCATAGTAGTGGAATAGACAACAGTGTGATACATACCAGATGGAAAGTATTTTCGTCTTGTATATGTATATATACACTCACGCACGCACAGACGCATACACACACATGCATACAATTTCTCTTTATTGTGTTTGATTTCTAGCTTGGTCTCTTGCAACCAAAATTAGTGGAGTTAATGAAGACAGCGGTTTAGCTCGTCGAACAATAAATGGATGCTGAATGCAAAGAGAAAGAACAAAATAAAATGAGAAATTAATATTATAGAATAAAATAGATAAATAATATCATAGACCAGGAGTAACTACTCTCTTTCTACTCTCTCTTACGGTCGACCGCTGGTTAGGACTTCTCACTTCCTGCAAAGAGTGAGTCGTTAGTGAACATCAGATTGACTTTCAAATGTTGGTCAGTAGGGATATGATTGGTTACACGTTCGAACATGAGTTGACATAAGTAGTTTTGAGAACCATTGGAAAACCAAGGAGTACTGCAAACCAACGCATGATAAATAATTTGATTCCCACTAGCAACTAGCTCTATACAGGAAGAGTTACCTGGAGTTCTGGAGAGACACGTCATAACCAGTGGGGTTCATCAGGTCAAGAAAAAGAACAGTTACTCGCCGATGATATCGGCTGACGCCTATGTTATATTCTAGAATGGCAGAAGTTGGAATCCATGAGTTGTTAGATCAGGTCTCAATGGCTGAATGGTCTATGAGCTCACCCGGTAACCTGTAGGTCCTGGAATCAAATCTCCGTGGGTGCGTAGTACTGAAGAGTCCCAAACTGATACGGAATAGCTGTTCAGTACTCCCTGGTTTTCAATAATTCTCTAACAGAAGTCAGTTCTTCCTAAAGCCTCATATAAGTGACTTATTGTGGATTGAGAGTTCCATTTAATTTGGTACACCGTCCCCCCTCCCCTGGCCGTCTCAATCGGATGTACCTACACACATATACATTCTAAGGAAGTTTGATGATGAGGTTTCTAATGCGATTGGGACCCAATTCCTATCATTTCAAGTGTAATCAGTTAGTTATCCATCAGTGGTCGCTGAGCCCAACGACAGCCATTCATTCAACTACCTGGGTCAGGCTTTATTCATCTTCCCACCAGACTGTGTGTAAATCACACACTTATCTATCGTGTGACGACTTATGACACTATCCCCAATTGCTCAAGTTGAAGTAGGTGAGTGGTAAGATTCGAACCCAGGGACTATTGGCTAAGAGTCGAGTGGTTAAGTTAAATGATCTACATCTCAATCAATAAGTATTTGTATTGCTCATACACAAGAAAATAAGATACGAATCAATTAATTGACTTTTTTTAGAGTAGATTTGTTTACCGTGAGGGATATTTAATGAATTACCAACAAACTACTTATAATACCTCCAAGTAGTATATGAAAGATGCAATAATAGTAATTATTGTAAATTAAAGTACACATAGAATGCAAAACATAATATCCACATAGATAAACACACACACTAACAAACGAACAAAAGTGCATACCTTAAGTAGCTCAAATGCAGACGCACGTAAATCCACATTGACTTCGAGGCAACGATCGAGAAAGTCTAAAAACTCTGCGCTTAATTTTTCGCGTTCCTTAATTTCTGGTTTCCCGTTTGTTCCAATTAAATAAAGAGCCTGTAATTTTTTGATAAAACAAACAAACAGAGAATAAATGAGATAGAGACAATAAAACCTACTCAGTTGTTTGATGATGTGGCTAGTCGGTTGATTACATAACGAGTGTTTCGTCCTATTCAGGACTCATCACCAGGATGTAATTGGGTCTCTCCACCCCCCTGGGAGATTGGGTGAGTGATGTGGCTCCCATTGAGATTTGGACCTGGAACTTGTCGTAACAAACTCATTCATTAGGCTACTGAATATCTGACACTAGGTGTATGAGTCTCAAATGGTGAGTCTTGTATAGAAGGAAACTAGCATTTTCTGAGTGAACACTAGACAGTAACTAGTGTAATGTGTGTGTGTAGTCCTATCTTTGGTGCAGGCTCAATTCGATCAGTCAAGTTTACAATGTGGCCACCATGCCATCACGGTGTGCTGTGAATTATTGGTATTAGATGGTTGGAGGCACAGTGCACCAAGACGGTGTGCCGATTAGTATGGTGGCCACATTGCAAATTTGTCTGATAATAGAATTCAATGTGCACCAAAGATAGGACTGGGCATATACACGTTACACTAGTTACTAACTAGTGTCCAATCAAAAAATATATCCAATCGCGAATCTGAATAGTTCAGTGGTAAAGTCTCTGACTGCAAGCAACACTGCCTGACGCGGTTTCGAATCTCAGAAGTGACATGAGTTCCTTCGAGGTTGCAGATACGCCACCTTCCTGAGTGAATGGTGAGTGCCAACTAGCACGAAACCTATGTCAGACAAGGTTTCCTACCAATTGCTTCCAACCATCTAATACCACAGAAACCAGTGGAACGACATTCAATCAACGAGGAATTCGGAAATGGTGGTTAAACATCCACCAGCCACGCACACTCACACGTCATCTGAGGTTCGACTCCCAGTCGACTCACCCCTAAATCTCACCTACGGTTACTAGAAAAGGAAGTTTGAGCACATTACCACTATTTTCTCTAAACATTTCTACTTGCTGTAGTTCTTTTGAAGTTCATTTTTCTTCCCTTTTTCCCCGCACCTTTTTGTAACGCATATAATATGACAGTGAAATCTGCAATGAGCACATTTCGTCCCGTTCGGGACTCGTCTTCTGGATACATCTAGATCCACAGTAGCTGAGTGACGACGATGTTCCCTACTGACGTTGGAAACAATGGAGGCTAGTTTAAAGTTTCTAGATGACGGGTTCATGATAATCTTTAGACATCATCAAAAGGATGGTGGTGTATACTAGGCACTGACATGTTTGTCAACAGACAGATTGAGTTCTTCCATCCACGATAGAAATCAATCAATCAGCCATCGGGAAACACAAATTAGCTTGAACAAAAAATAATAATAATCTTACCCGAACAGGATTTTCATTCAAATATGGCGGTTCACCATCAATCATTTCTATAGCCATAATACCAAGTGACCATATATCAACTTTTGGTCCGTATTGTTTTCTTGTTACAACCTCTGGAGCCATCCAATAAGGTGTACCAACCATTGTAGAACGTTTTGTCTGTTCTGGACTTAATTGAGCACAGAAACCGAAGTCGGTTAACTTCACTGAACCATCCAATCCTAAGAGAATATTATCCGACTTAATATCACGATGAATGACTTGATTTTTATGCAAAAATTCTAAAGCTTGTAGGCACTGGAAACACGGTGGATTATTATTGATAGACGGATGAACAGTCGGACAGATGGATGGAAAGAAAAAGCAAAAAAGAAGGCAATAATACCGGTTAATTATTTTTTAAAAACTATACAATCATTGTGGTGAGAGCAGGGTGCTAGCCAATTGGTAGACATTAATCTACATCAATGTCTAGGTCACTAATATTGGCCGTGAGAAAATATGAACAAGGCTGATTCAACAACCAATCACAGCAAACTTAATGTGGGTAAATATGATTCGCAGATTGATGGCTCCACTTTTCGATGTTACCCGAAACAACCAGCGGATGGTCATTTCACTCCTTTGGGTGGGTAGCTCTGAGCCAATCAGTGGTGTACCCAGTTTCAATCCAGCTCAGAGAGCCCCATACATCAGTGTTCCGACCACCGAAATTACAACTGATGAGCTCGGCCACCAACGAGTGGAATAGGAAGCGCTATTGATTGCTGTGAGAGTGGTATCTGACTACACCTATCCATCAACCACTAGTAAACGGGATCATGCAAAATGGTTGGTTACTTGATCGCCATTTGTAATATCAAGTAGATCACATATAGAGTGATCTGAATAGTTTAGTAGGTTGCCAAAGGATTTCTCACCACAAGCTGTGTAATTTGTAAATGAGGATTTCATCATGAGAAACTATTGTTGTTTGAAAACAGTTACACAGAACAGATTTTCCATGCATGCATGGCTGACTGGACTGATTGATTTCAACGTAGAACTGCTTTGCACAGATGTGAAGCAGTTCGAGTTTCGTTGACTAATGAAGCCATGTTCTGGTTTGACCACCACGTGCTAGCTTCTTTACAACCTCATTCATCATGTATCAGTCAGCTAACATTGCTCGTTGTCCAGGAAGGCGATCAATGGCTAGGAATGTATGCGTAACACATGTCGCCTAACCGTGTCAATCGATGAAACTTCAACCAAAAACCTTGTTGATTGATTTCCCCTCCTCTTTGCCTAGTACTCAACCGATACCTTACCTCAATGTTGCTCACCTTACTATACCACTTAATGCGGGAGATAGAACGCAGGGACCTACGATCAATTACAGATAGGTGGCCTTTTCATGTCTTCCACTTTCAATGACCATGTTTAACTCACAGCTATGAAGAAGGACAAAACGAACTGACTGCTTAGCAGTACACACGACCTTTGGTCGACAGTCGGCCGGGTTTCACGTCTACTAACCCAAAGATGGTGTAATTTGGCGTATTTCAAATGAGCCTTCTGTATGCGTATTGAGATTTTGTCAGCGATCAATTGTCAGCTGATGGGACTGATGGAACTACCCAAATAAGTGAAGTGGTCAACATGCTCTACCACTTTACTTTTGCCTATCTTTAAGCTAGGAGTGAGTCGATGCAGTCCAGTTATGTAGCATCATCGTAAATTTCACAGTATGAGCGAATCACATGCCAAACATTCGAAGACTGCTGCTCCAGGTGTTCGGAAGACTCTGCATATTGTTAGCGTCTTCACCTAGGAGTCAGGACTACATCAGCTGCATATTCTAAGGTAACGACATTATTCCCTGATAATGGTAACAAGTCAATCCTTGAGTCGCTGAAGTCAGTTAGGGTTAATTCCATTAGTACATTTATGATGAAATTAAACAGAAATACATAATTCTATGAGCCACTCAATTATTGTATGAGAGTTGATGATGCCCCCTGTTTGACCAGGCAGTTCAAAGTATATGGAGTGGGACTCCGAAACCAGTAGTTCATTCATATATATTTAATGTCAGCATCACATGTCCAAGTAAGATGATTGTCCAGTTTTGAAGTTGGTTAGTTATATATATATATATATATATATATATATATATATATATATATGGAGGAACAGCAGACTTGACAACTACAGACACTAGACCTATGTTTCACCCAAACACGTAAGCTCCGTACAGACATCTATGATAAAAGTTTGTGACAAGAATTACAACGCTTACAGCAGCCAGGTGTATTACAACACTAGTCACAAGGTCAGCATTATTATTTCCTTTAATTCCTAGAAGAACATAGGGTTTTAGTCACGCGTCTCCATTGCGTTCGGTTCTCTGCTAGAGTTTTCACCTGACTTCAATTCTACCTACATGCTTTCATCTCCTCTCCACATGACATCCTCCAAGTCACCCTCGGACGACCAACTCGCCACTTTCCTTTCGGGTTCCACTTGAGCAATGGCTTGTCTAGTGATGTCACTTGATGTTCTCCTCAGAGTATGGCCAATCCATCTTCATTTCTTCCTGCTTATTTGTTGCACAATCTGTTCCTGGTTGGTTTGCTCCAAGAGACTCCTGTTGGATATTGATATATTGATGGATTTACATGTCCAAGTTGGCTCAAGTTAGTGAGTCTATGATTTTGGTGTCATTTTGGTTAACTGTATCTGACTGTGATACCACTGCTAAGATTTTTTTAATTATTGTTGTTGTCGCTGCCCCTTCCTGTTGTGAATTATTTTCCTTTTGCTGGTGTTGTTCTGATTGCTTTATTCCTTGTTTTCCTGCTTTTAAGGGGAGCAACCCACAAGGTCGCTTCTCTGAAAACTATATTTTAACGTAACAACCCCCTTCTCAGACACGAGGCTAGCAACTCCACCCTGTAAAAAAAGTTGTTACAGAAACTTCAGCACGATGAATCTCCTTGCGCCAAAAGAAAACGTTTGTGTGGGAACATGGAACGTCCGTACCATGTACGAAATTGGCAAAGCTGCCCAGATCACTGCCATGGTCAGCACAGACAACACTAATTGTGTAGATGTAAAGAAGGCAAAAGGATCTCTCTACGTATGTGTATTGGTTGCTTTTGGACTGTTCCAAAACACCACCACTATCCTATACACCTATTCCACATGATTTATTCACCGTTCTAAACTATGGCTCATAGCTGGACACGTTAGATCTAATTGATAGTTGAAGTAGCTCCAGAAAGCTGAGAACATCTTTTAATATTAATACACATCGCCACCAATTCGACTATAACAGATTACCGTCTTTATTACGTATACATGATAACAGAAGACGCTGACAAAATACAGTCCTCTGAACACACCTTCAACAGATATCTTAGTAAATTTCGCTTGCAGTTCCCTCCTTTAGAATGTAAGATGACACTGCAGAACTGATCTGGACCGATTCCCAGTTTAAACATCGGGAGTGGCCGATAACTGCTACCTTGTCGTGGTGGTCGGGCTTGAATACCGTAATGACCCCACATGCTAAACTGACTGGGACTCTGTCCCTGCAGGTCCTAACATGTCAGGAAGGTTGTTTGGATGGCGGTTAAACTAAAAACAGTTACCATGGGGTACATGGGCTCCACTATCCAATCGGATCGAATGGCGTATGAACCCATATGGGTCACCGGAAACCATGGGAATACAGCTCCTGACGCTGCTCCGCTGCCTTTTGGATTAAACTCCAAGTCAAAGGCTCGTTGGGTGGTCCCTTATTAAAACCACCTAATTCGGTCTGGGCGCCCACGCAGTATCTCAACCCTCACACAATGAATTGAATGAAGCAACAAACAATCAATGAAACTTATCGCGCGCTATTATACGTGTTGCAATTTCCTTCTTTCTTCCCTTCCCGATGATAGTTAACGAATACTGTTTGAACTTGTTAAGCATGACTGTTTTCTTTCCAGATGAAGTTCTTTATCCGTTCTCTACTTATATATATTTTTTCTCTTCTTTCTTTTCTTTCTTTTGATCTATGTTGTTTTATTATTATTGTGTGGCGCATCCTTCTTGGTGCCATATTGTACCAAGTTTTTATGCGTGTAAATAAAATAAATAAATAAGTGTAGTCGTACAGCGTGTTGACCATTTCACTTATATCAGAAGTTGCACCAATCTGAATGGACTGATTTGTGACGAAGTCTCAGTATGGATACAAAATGCTTATGTGGCATTCGCCATATTATATCATCTCTGGAGTAGACAGGATATCCGGACGTGTATACTGCACAGCTATTACGCTCTTCTCTATGGATGTACAATATGATCGTTGAAAGTGGTATAATAAAGTGTATCATATTGAGGTTAGGCGTAGAGTGCTAAGTGAGGAAAGTGAGTCAGTCAATGGAGTTGTGAAACTTCATCTGTTCAGATAGACTAGGCCATGTGTCGATTATTCCCAACCACAGCCTTTCCATTTGAATAATATATTAGGTGACACTAGATTGGATTAGGGATGTGTTAGGGAAGTTGAAACCAAATTCAGTCTATGAAGTCGATGACTGTTGGTTTGAACCATCTAGAAAGGTATAGAATGTCTGTTTGAGATTGGCTGGCTCACAGTCGTTCTCAGTGGCATAAATGCACTCACTATTTGTGCTCTTTTAGACCCACTCGTTTCTACCACCTTCTGACACATCACCATATACTGCTTTCACCGGATTCCTCAAAATTTTGCTCAACTTGGCCGATTCCTCCTTCAGGCTTTCGACGTCGGTTAGTTCTGCAACTGCCTCCGAATTTTTCTATGGAATACCCTAATATCTCCATTTTGGAAAACCATAACCAAGTGGGTCTTTATCATATTGAAATACTTGGAAAGAGAAAATCTCAATTGACAGGATTCGTTAAACTGACTCGACCGATATCTGCTACCTTGACGTGGTGGTCAGGTTTGCATATCGCAATGACCCAACAAGCTCAACTGGCTGGAACTATTGTTTCTGCAGCCCCTACCATGCCAGGAAAGTTGTTAGGATAGCGATTAGGCTAAAAGAAGTTACCAGCATAGTATGAGAATTTTTTACACTATGCTGGGTGTCTGTGGACGAAGTTGTACTGCTGGGGAACAGGGATATAATGACAGTAAGGTGTTCCCTTCAGATGACCAGCATAACAGTCAGCTATGCAGTCTCTCCACTCTGAAGAGAGGGGGTTAGAAAAGGTCGACTCCAGAAATTATACGACCCGACTTACCCTACGGTGGTCTGTAACCGGTGGTGAGTTTACTAATACGTAACCAATCCAAGAAACCAGCTCATACAGGCCGTGTGTGGCCGGTCTCAAGCAGTTGTCCCCTGGGCTCTGCGGACACGCAACACTCTTTCTGTTTCAGGTACCCGAAGAATCAATTAACTTCCATGGTGTGGGCAGCCGGGTAGTAACAACCGCCTACACACTTCCAAAAAGCACACGAAGTCTTCCTGAACATTACGTTATACTGATGCACGGACTAATCGACGATGATAAACAAAATTCGAATTGCTAGTTCATAAGGATCTGACTAGTTTCAAGTGTAATCACGCGACTAACTTTAGGTAGAGAACACCATTGAAGAGTACAGAGTGCTGGACATCCGTTTTGTCCTACTTTGGGACATTTGAACCCGTCACAATTTACTGGTAATTGAACCCAGGGTCATAAAACTAAGAAGCGTGTTTTGTTGTTTATCCCACCACTGGAACGGATTTCAATAGTCAATCAATTCTAACTTATATCACCGCTAACCATTGTCACCGGCTAGAACGAAACAACTGTCGAGTACTCTCTAGTGGTGGTTTCCAATGGTTCACTAAATCATATTAATCCTTGATCAAATTTGGTAATAATGTGAATAAAATCGCCAGTCCACCGATGTCTACTGAAGGGCTTATCTGAAGCTGCTGTGGTAATTCGTGACCCATAGGGTCCACGATGTTAAGGTAAAGTGAATACTCAGTGAAGGCATCGGTGAGAGCTGCGCTACGCCACGAGTTGACAAGGTTAAAGGGTCAGCAAGCTTGATATCGTAACCTGAGGCTCCCAGGTTCGACCCCTGAGGGAAGCGTGGGTGAGCATTATGAAGAGCTCCAAAACAATATGAAACCACTGGGGCTCCCTGGTGTTTTCAATGATCTCTCTAACAACTGATGTTGGTTTGTGATAAAAGTCTAACAACTGAAATGTGAATAAAAGACACGCACACGCACCAACATACCGAAACACAGAACTTACCTCTCTGCATACAGCTGCAATTTGTCCTTCATCCATTAGTGTTTCAGTGACAACTTCAGTTAAGGATCCACCGTCCAGATATTCCATAACTACCCATAACTCATCTCCAACAAGATAACTATCTAAATAATTAACAACATTTGGATGTTTTTTCACTTTCATCACATAAATTTCATTGACAATTAACTCTTTTTTAGGCTGTTTCTTTAAATTCATTTGTTTTATGGCAACACGTCGACCAGTTGCTGATTCTATTCCACTATAGACAACACCAGATGCACTGGAATATGAGTTGAATAATAGAAAAAAAAGGCCATTAACTATTTACAAATACAATAAGACAAGTGAATCGTCGTCAATAAAATAGTATTAGAATGTGAAAATGTGGTGAGAGCTGTCTGTTGATTTTCTCAATAAACAATCTGTTTGTTGCTTGGCCCCTGTCTTCTGTCAATTGGTGTCGCTGCCTACCGACAAATCAAAAGCCTATGCCCTGTAGTTTTTGATGGAGACATATGGATCTTCGGGGAGGACTTCGAGGTTGTTGCGCAGTTAAGTGGCGTTCAAGATCCGTCAGCGATGAGGCTTTTACTTAAAACGCTGATGGTAGGTCGGGCGAAGGTAGCATATGAAAGTGTGTGGCAAAAACACCAACGAATCAGCGCCAGGGTCAGGCAAACAGCTTCCAAAGTGGGAAGGACTACATATTGTCGCTTTGAAACGGCGTCACGTAGATACGACCGCAAATGCAAACAAAGAGAAACAGGTAAAGGTAAGAGAAAGTCGAAATTCCAGATAGCAAGACAAACGAACAAAGCGACCAGAACCAAGAACACAGAACTAACTTCAGTTAAAAGTTTTTTTTTGACAGGGGGATGAGTGTGGTGAACGCTGTCTGTAAGCAGAAATTGCAAACAACAATTCACGTCAATGTTTACATCCTAAATCGGGGTCATGAAAGAAAACAATAACAAAGCTTAACCTTGAGGAACTCACCGACCAATCACAACAGACTTAACGTGGGCGGATATGATTCGCAGATATATCACCCGACTGTCTAAGAAACGGTAACAAAAAGATGACGGAATAACCTTCAGCAAGAAAACAACCAATCAGAAGACGTTGCTTCTCTGCTAACAATAACGAATAATAATGTACACAAAAATCAATAAATATCCGTTGATTTTCGCAACAAACGATCTGTTGCCTGGCTATTACCTTCTGTCGTCACAATCAGTGAAATAAAACAGTACAAAAACGGAATATGCAATAGAGAAAAATTGATTCAAGCCTGATCATATTGATGTCAGTTAGAGAAAACCATTGGAAAACAAAGGAGTATTGGACAGGTGTTTTGCACGTGTTTGGAAGTCTTCAGCAGTACGCGCCCACCGGAGTTCGAAGCCTGATAAAAGTAGCCGGATATCTCATATGAATTAAGGTAGTTTGGACATATTTCGCTTATGCTAGCCCAGGAAATATTCTGATAGGCTATCTTCACTCACTGAACACCATCGATCTATGTACATCGATATATGGCGTTGGTGATTTAGCAGTAGAATGCTCGCCAACCATGCACGTGGTCTGGGGTTCAATCCTTGGTTGGCACATTCCCAAATCTTACTAGGTTGGTAGTAAGGCCGATCACCTAATATATGATAGATGTATTTCGCCTATATCTGAATATCGAATCGACAATAGTTGATTTTGTTGCCAAATACGCTTGTTTTCTAACTTTACAAATCGACAAGCAAACACAAATAATGTAGACGCTAGAAAAGAAACCAGAAGGAATCACATAAAATGAGTTTGAAGTCTAATTTGAAAAATTCAACTTTTGTACAACAACAAAAAACCACACAGTAGGCGGAAGTTAAAGTTACTGAGGTTCAAAAGTTGAGTTCACTGTGTGAACCAAGAACCAGATTCCATTTCCCACCCCCTCTCCTCCGCGGATATATTCTTAAAACCTTGTCTAGTTTACCGCCTGCCTGTTGAGAGTAATACCCCCACCGACTCCTCCTACTGAAACTTGAAACCTTGAAGCACAATGTTCCACTCAGAGCACGAAGGAACTCACTAGGCAACTATCAAACAAAAAAGAAACGAAACACGATCCTATGTTGACTTTCTACCAGTAAGCTGCAACAGGTTGAATGTGAGGCAGTAACTCATTGAAGAAGACATTGCGAAGTGATAGCGCAATGCCATGAATAGACACAAATTAGAATTCATGGGCTGGCTGTCCACTGGATCGGGTCCTATTGGCGTAATTGTTTACGAGCTCGCTAGACTTGGAACCAGAAGGTCGTGGGTTCAAACCCCACAATGTGGGTGCGTGTTGGTGAAGAGTCCCAAACGAAACAGCGAGTTGTCCAGTACTCCCAACTTGTTTTCCAATGGTTCTCTAACCAACAGATGTCAGTTCATAATGAAATTCACCAACCAACCAAAGTCCCTACAAAAACCAATACTTGAAAATTCTTGTATTTATTTAGAACTTTTACATAATTTCCTACTTTTTTTCATTCCCATGTGCAAAATGATAAAAACTCGATCTGGGACTCTAATACACACTTAATCAACTCTTCATATATTTATTATTTTTTTGATAACAGCTTGTTAGGACATGTGTTACGTATGCCTACTCATCGCCTTCCTCGACGGGCAATGTTAGCTGATATAGAGTCAGGAAACTAAATCCCTATTTGAGGAAGAACTAGCTAAACACATATCTGAGTTCGACAGCTGTGCTCACCCTGAAGAAGCCTGGAAGAATATTCAGTCAGCCATATATACAGCTGTAAAAGCTGTAAATAAGGTAAATCCAAAGGTGAGTAAAAACCATTGGATTTCGACTGCCTCATCCGAACTGATAGATGCTAGAAGACTTATTCCGGCGAGCTCCGAATTCAATGAGGAGAGAAAGCTGCACAAAAGGAAACTTACTAAAAGTCTCCGCAAGGACCGTGAACAGTGGTGGGTGACAAAGGCGAAAGAGATAGAAAAAGCATCGGCGATAAGCAACACTAGGCAACTCTTTAGATTCATCAGGGAAACGGGTGGGAGAAGGCAAATCATAAGTGAAACAATCTCGGAGAAAAATGGCACCATAATTAGCTCTCAGGATAGACGCCTTGAACGCTGGAAATAACACTTTGAGGAACAATTTAACTTGTCTACAGCCGCACTGAACCTCCCCGCCATCCAGCACACACCCGAATGCGATACAGACACTGGTCCGCCGTCTGTAAGTGAGGTCACAAAAGCTATCAGTAATTTGAAACGAGGCAAAGCGGCAGGACCCGACGGAATTATTCCGGAGGTGTTTAAATATGGGGGTGACATACTAGTTTGTAGATTAACTAAGGTACTAGGCAAAGTTTGGGAATCAGAGACGGTTCCATCAGACTGGGGTAAGTCACTTATTATACCGATATTCAAGAAGAGAAACAAGTCCTCGTGTGATAATCATGGGGGGATCAGCCTAACGAACATAGTTTCTAAAATCCTAGGTTCAGTAGTCATGCACAGACTAAGCAGAACTCGGGAAGAACAAACGAGGGAAAACCAAGAAGGCTTCAGACCAGGTAGACGGCGCATAGATCATATCTTCACTCTCTGACAGATCCTAGAACACAGACACACTTTTCGGCATCCAACAATTGCCATATTTCTTGACTTGAAGGCGACCTTCGACTACGTGGATCGAAAGGTACTATGGCAATGTCTGACTGTGAAGGGAGTGCCAAGAAAGTACACTGCACTAATCAAGGCACTCTATTCAGACTCACGTAGTCGTGTAAGAGCTTATGGGGAATTGTCATCTGAATTGGTGACAACCAGTGGTGTCCGACAGGGATGTCCACTCTCCCCATTTCTGTTTAACTTCATCATAGATATGCTGATGGAAGTATCCTACACTGAACTTAATGACTTAGGAATCGAATTGTTACCAGGGAATAGTCTTATAGACTTAGAATATGCAGATGACATAGTCCTGTTAGGGGAGGATGCTGACAAAATGAGGCAGAGTCTTCTGAACACCTTGAGCAGCAATCTTCCTATGTTTGGCATGCGATTCGCCCCTACAAAATGTAAGATGCTGCTACAGGACTGGACTACGTCAACTCCTAGCCTAGTGATAGGGAGTGAAGTGGTAGAACATGTTGACCACTTCACCTATTTGGGAAGTTGTATCAGCACCAACGGACTGATTGGCGACGAAATCTCAGCACGGATCCAAAAAGCCCGAGCTGCTTTCGCTGACTTACACCATCTCTGGCGTAGGCGTGACATCCGGCTATCAACCAAGGGACGTGTGTACTGCTCTGCTCAGCAGTTCGCTCCGTCCCTCTCTATGGCTCTGAAACATGGCCAATACGAGTTGAAGACATGAAAAGGTTGACTGCTTTCGATCATATATGTCTGCGATCTCTGTATCACGTTAGGTGGTTTAATAAGGTAAGTAATGTTGAAGTTAGGCGTAGAGTGTTGGGCAAAGAGGGAAAATCAATCGACGAAGCTATAAATTTACATAGATTGAGATGGCTAGGTCACGTGCTGCGCATGTCTAACCATCGCCTCCCCACGTCGACGGGCATTACTAGCTGATATGGGTGCAGGTTGGAAAAGAGTAAGTGGTGACCGAACAAAAACATGGCATCAATCCACGATTATTGTACAGCTTAATGAATGAATTCGTCTAAAATAGACTCTTCACTGAACTACTACTTCTTTTATTTTCATGAATGTCTGGAGTGGGGATTATCCATGAATTGAAAGGTAGAATTAACTTCCTTTTTCTCTATTTTACTCTACATTTTTTACCATACCTCTAACTGACTGGTTTCAACATAGAATTGCTTTGCACCGATGTGCACCAGTTCGAGTCGCCACTCACCACACAAAGCAAGAGAAGAAGAAGAAGAAGAAAGTAAAAAGAAATGCAAAACAAAGACAGTAAACAGAGATAGGAGCTAAAAGAATAGTAATATGAAAGAACAATATAGTTTTATTGGATATTTGATAAGTCACAAGGAGTGGATGCATTGTGCGCCAGACATTGAAAACGAGGATTTTGAGCCATATCACCAATTGTCTCCAGTCTTCATTGGTTTTTACCAACCTGAGGATCCCAACCAGCCAGTTAGGAAGTATGCACCTCTCTAAGTGACTGACTGGCTTAAACTAACTTTTATGAATTTTTAAAAGAATGGATACTGAACAAAGAATATTCTTTTCGATAACCCCTTCATCATCAGACTCTACAGTTATATA